TTCTCACCGCTGTTGCTTCATACCACATGAGCACCTGATTTGTCCCACATCACATTTTCGCCTCTGTTACTTCATACCACATGAGCACCTGCTTTGCCCCACATCACATTCTCACCTCTGTTGCTTCATACCACATGAGCACCTGCTTTGCCACATATCACATTTTCACCTCTGTTGCCTCATACCACATGAACACCTGCTTCGTCCCACATCACATTCTCACCTCTGTTGCTTCATACCACATGAGCACCTGCTTTGTCCCATGTCACATTCTCACCTCTGTTGCTTCATACCACATGAGCACCTGCTTGGTCCCACATCACATTCTCACCGCTGTTGCTTCATACCACATGAGCACCTGCTTTGTCCCACATCACATTCTCACCTCTGCTGCTTCATACCACATGAGCACCTGCTTTGTCCCACATCACATTCTCACCTCTGTTGCTTCATACCACATGAGCACCTGCTTTGTCCCACATCACATTCTCGTCTCTGTTGCTTCATACCACATGACCACCTGCTTTGTCCCACATCACATTCTCACCTCTGTTGCTTCATACCACATGAGCACCTGCTTTGTCCTACATCACATTCTCAACTCTGTAGCTTCATACCACATTAGCACCTGCTTTGCCACATATCACATTCTCACCTCTGTTGCTTCAAACCACATGAGCACCTCCGTTGTCCCACGTCACATTCTCACCTCTGTTGCCTCATACCACATGGGCACCTGCTTTGTCCCACATCACATTCTCACCTCTGTTGCTTCATACCACATGAGCACCTGCTTTGCCACATATCACATTCTCACCTCTGCTGCTTCATACCACATGAGCACCTGCTTTGCCACATATCACATTCTCACCTCTGTTGCCTCATACCACATGAACACCTGCTTCGTCCCACATCACATTCTCACCTCTGTTGCTTCATACCACATGAGCACCTGCTTTGTCCCATGTCACATTCTCACCTCTGTTGCTTCATACCACGTGAGCACCTGCTTGGTCCCACATCACATTCTCACCGCTGTTGCTTCATACCACATGAGCACCTGATTTGTCCCACATCACATTTTCGCCTCTGTTACTTCATACCACATGAGCACCCGTTTTGCCCCACATCACATTCTCACCTCTGTTGCTTCATACCACATGAGCACCTGCTTGGTCCCACATCACATTCTCACCTCTGTTGCTTCATACCACATGAGCACCTGCTTTGTCCCACATCACATTCTCACCTCTGTTGCTTCATACCACATGAGCACATGCTTTGTCCCACATCACATTCTCACCTCTGTTGCTTCATACCACATGAGCACCTGCTTTGTCCTACATCACATTCTCAACTCTGTAGCTTCATACCACATCAGCACCTGCTTTGCCACATATCACATTCTCACCTCTGTTGCTTCAAACTACATGAGCACCTCCGTTGTCCCACGTGACATTCTCACCTCTGTTGCCTCATACCACATGGGCACCTGCTTTGTCCCACATCACATTCTCACCTCTGTTGCTTCATACCACATGAGCACCTGCTTTGCCACATATCACATTCTCACCTCTGTTGCTTCATACCACATGAGCACCTGCTTTGCCACATATCACATTCTCACCTCTGTTGCCTCATACCACATGAACACCTGCTTCGTCCCACATCACATTCTCACCTCCGTTGCTTCATACCACATGAGCACCTGCTTTGTCCAATGTCACATTCTCACCTCTGTTGCTTCATACCACATGATCACCTGCTTGGTCCCACATCACATTCTCACAGCTGTTGCTTCATACCACATGAGCACCTGCTTTGTCCCACATCACATTCTCACCTCTGTTGCCTCATACCACATGAGCACCTACTTTGCCCCACATCACATTCTCAACTCTGTTGCTTCATACCACATGATCACCTGCTTGGTCCCACATCACATTCTCGCCTCTGTTGCTTCATACCACATGAGCACCTGATTTGTCCCACATCACATTTTCGCCTCTGTTACTTCATACCACATGAGCACCTGCTTTGCCGCATATCACATTCTCACCTCTTTTACTTCATACCACATGAGCACCTACTTTGCCCCACATCACATTTTCGCCTCTGTTACTTCATTCCACATGAGCACCTGCTTTGCCCCACATCACATTCTCACCTCTGTTGCTTCATACCACATGAGCACCTGCTTTGTCCCACATCACATTCTCACATCTGTTGCTTCATACCACATGAGCACCTGCTTTGTCCCATATCACATTCTCACCTCTGTTACTTCATACCACATGAGGGCGGTGGGGTAGCCTAATGGTTAAATCGTTGGCTCGTCACGCCGAAGACCCCGGTTAGAATCCCCACATGGGTACAGTGCGTGAAGCCCATTTCTGGTGTCCCCCGCCGTGATGTTGCTGGAGTATTGCTTAAAGCGGCGTAAAACCAAACTCAGTCTGTCAGTCAGTCATACCACATGAGCACCTGCTTTGCCCTACATCACATTCTCACCTCTGTTGCTTCATAGCACATGATCACCTGCTTTGTCCCACATCACATTCTCACCTCTGTTGCTTCATACCACATGAGCACCTGCTTGGTCCCTCATCACATTCTCGCCTCTGTTGCTTCATACCACATAAGCACCTGCTTTGTCCCACATCGCATTTTCGCCTCTGTTGCTTCATACCACATGATCAACTGCTTTGTCCCACATCACATTGTCGCCTCTGTTGCTTCATACCACATGAGCACCTGCTTTGTCCCACATCACATTCTCACCTCTGTTGCTTCATACCACATGGGCACCTGCTTTGTCCCATATCACATTCGGACCGCCTCCGTGGTGTAGTGGTTAGAGCGTCCGCCTGGAGAACGGAAGGTCGCGGGCTCGATCCCCGACCGCGTCATACCAAAGAGACGTTAAAATATGGTACTAGTTGGTCCCTGCCTTGCGCTCGGCATTAATGGGTACGGCAAGGACTGGTCGGCTCGGAATCAGTATAATGTGTCTGAGTGGGGTATTCATGCTTCACTGCGGCATGGTATCTCAGTGGGCTAGCACTATAAAACCAGCTTAAGTCTGGGCTAGTACAAGCAGCCGCACATACACATACACACGCATTCACGTCGTCATATGAGCGAAATATTCTCAAGCACGACGTTAAACCCCATTTCACCTCACCTCACCCCATATCACATTCTCACCTCTGTTGCTTCATACCACATGAGCATCTGCCTTGTCTCACATCACATTCTCGCCTCTGTTGCTTCATACCACATGAGCACCTGCTTTGTCCCACTTCATATTCTCGCCTTTGTTGCTTCATACAACATGAGCATGTTCGTTGGCCCATATCACATTCTCACCTCTGTTGCTTCATATGACATGAGCACCTGCTTTGTCCCATATCACATTCTCACCAAAATGAAGCATTTCATCAACCCCACGAACATTTCAAGAATGTATTGATTTTTCCTTCACAAGGGATAACTATTTCAATGTAAAAACGATGAAGGATCGTTTAAATAATGTACATGTTCATTTAATTGTTGTTGTTTTTAAAAGAACTTGATTTAATTGATAGATTTTGGTTCATATGTTTTATAGATAGATGTATTTTAATGATTGGTAGTTTAGATTAGTAACTTAGATTTAGTGGTTGTATTCTCAAAGGGGGTTAAAGTATCGTAAAATTATTGTCCTCGTGAGAGGGTACGTAAGTCCCAAAATATTTAAAGTAAATTTAAACTTAAAACCACCTTTTTAATCGTAGAATATGCGTTCTTTTAATACATGACTAGATTTGTCTTAATCGCTGACAGCTGAAAGGATGGCTTAAATCCAGCTAGTGTCCATGCAGGAAGCAAATGTACTGTAAGTCCCCATGGTCCCTAGTATGGTGATCTACCTTCAGTTTTGGGCAATTTATAGCCCATTTTTATATTGTACTGTTAAACTAAGAAATTTTGCTAGTTTTAAGTATACATCTGTGATAGACTAGTTCTTTTACTGTCTTTAAGTATATAAGTTTGTTTTTATTTCATGCATACATTTATAAATTTAGAACTTTAATTTTAACTCACTGACTCACTCACGAACTCACGAACATCTCAAACTGGATACTTATGGAACGAAGGAGAGTTACACTTCACATAGATTAACGAACCCCTATCTGATTTGACCCTTCGTGTTATATCTGGGTCAATTGGATGAAATAAAAGTAGGTGAGTGATTTTAGTTTGATGCAGCATACCAATATCAGCTTGTATTCATCTCTACATTTTTAGTGAATGAATGAGTTCAGTTTTACGCTGCTTTCAGAAATATTCCAGCAATATGACGGCGGGGGACACCAGAAATGGGCTTCACGAGCGAACACTTTAACCACTGGGGCACCCCGCCGGCCCTTACGCAGGTTGCAAAATGCGCAGGTGATGGTCATGTTGCTGGGTGGTCACTCTCGGTCTCCCACTTCTGGGACTGTCAGATGTCTGGCCAGTCTGGTTGACGGGTCTCATTAGTCTGATGTTGGTCTGCCTTGCATTATGGCTGTTCGAAGCCCCAACATGCGACAATGCAAAGGCGCGTTCTTGATCCGCTGCTGAAAATCTTCTTTTTTACATAATCCAATAATAAACATCAGGTGTATACGTTATTTTGTACATCATTTTAGTTTCTAAACCAGCCTAACAGTTGTTACTCTATTCCCCTTACTTCAAGTCACGTCAAACTCCACCTACCATACTGATCAATATATAAAAGTAGACACCACTTATTCAAACATACATCAGCACTCATACCATACGAAACCATTCTTTCCAAGGAAGAGTAAAAGAAGGGGAAATTAGAATTTACACTTGATTACGATATTAACCAACACTGAAATCAAGACTCTCTCTTCTGTAGTGGCCAACCTTTGAGGCTTTGTGTTTCTGTCATGTTTTCCTTTTGTAACGTGTTTTTAAATAACTGAGTCATTTTTATCATTTTTGTACAGGTGTTGCTGGAACCTCTGGTGATCTCTGGCGCGAGCAAAGACGCTTCGCCCTCAACACTCTCAGGGAGTTTGGAGCAGGCAGGAATATCATGGAGGACAAAATACACGAGGAAATCTCACAGTTTCTCGAGGCCTTCGAGGCAGAACAAGGGCAAGGCTTTGACTGCAAACGCCTGGTGCACAACGCAGTGTCCAATGTCATCTGTTCCACTGTATTCGGCAAACGATTTGAATATACTGACCCGCTTTTTATTACATTTTTAAAAGCCATGGACGAAAATGCTGCCAATGTTGGCGTGGCTGGAGTGTTGAATGTGCTGCCTATTGTTCGCTTTCTGCCAGGAGATCTATTCAAATTTAAGAAGACAATGCAGAATGTCGAGAAAATCGAATCACTGCTCATAGACCCTATGACAGAGGAACACTTGAAGAATCACGACGATGACAACGTGGACGACTTCATCCACGCCTACATCAAGGAAATGAGACTTCGCAAAGCGAAACAAGAGGACACGACCTTAGACTGTAAGCATGCTGAACCAAGTTCAATAGTTGTATGATTTTCTAACTCCATTTTGCCTTTTGTAACGCCCTTTGGGTGAAAAACAGAATATATGTAGTTCGTGTGTTACAGATGATATATTTGAGAACTGCGTGTCTGCATATAGTGGAAGAAAGGCGAAAATGATGCATTTCACCAAATCCACCAAAGTCGCGATGCCTGCGTTAATCATCGTATCCATGTACAAGAAAGGAGAACATCACTTCACATAGATCAACAAACCCTATTTGAGTCGACCTTCGATATGGCTGAAATACTGCCGATGTGACTTTAAATTTGTACTCACTCATTCACTGATTCGGCCTTCGGGGTTTTCAATAAGATGGAATTGACACAGTAGCAAACTCTGAGGGTATATATCTGTCCATGAATAGAAGAGAGAAGAAACCGTCTCAGTGACCTTACTTTCGTATGCACATGCATTTAATTGTGCATTTGAACATTGATTCCACGGTGAATCCATAATCTTGCATTAGGGCCTTCTCTCTCCAAATTACAGTTCATATGTCAAATGTATTAAGTTTAGAATCATTGCAGTTTAATTTTCACAGTGTTTTCGAATCATTTTATTTCAACAAAAGGCTTCTCTCGGACCTTGTTTCAGTGGAGAACCTGCAAAGAGTTATAGCAGACCTCTTTGTGGCTGGAACGGAAACCACGGCTACTACAATACGATGGACCATGGTCTACTTACTCAACAATCCGGAAATACAGGAAAGGTGTTTCCGAGAGATCCAGGAACATATCGGCCAGAGTAGGCGTCCCTCCATGAAGGACAAGATCAACCTGCCCTACATGGAAGCAACCATTATGGAAGTCTTGAGACGAGCTGATATCGCCCCTACAGCTCTCCCTCACACCGTTCCCCACGATGTCCAGTTCAGGGGTTTCACCTTCCCAAAAGGTGTCCAAGTCATAGCGATGCTTGATTCAGTCCTACAAGACCCGGATGTGTGGGGTGATCCAGACAACTTCCGGCCTGACCGTTTCCTTGACGCCAGTGGCAAGATCGTAAAGAAAGATGAGTTCATTCCCTTCTCTCTGGGTAAGTTAAGTCGCTGGCGAAGCAGCAATCTATTGTCAATCTTTATAAACGAATTCAACATTGTAGTGTTTTTACAAACGATTACAAATGGCTGTATTTTAAATTTGATAGTTCAACCTGTCTAGTAAGGCAACTTCCAAATATATGACATATCAGTAATTCGTTAGTCTGAAAATGTGTTAATCTAAATATATCTATTAAGAACACTAATTAATTTTGGCCAAATACATACAAATAACACCAAATGTCATTCCTGTTTTAAAGAATTATACATTATTTTAGCTGTCTTTACAAATTTTCAAATAAACATGCTCTCTCGAATAAAAGGAACTACACCAGCAGTATTATATTTACTAAAGATATTGGACCCGTGAAGATCCGGGTTAAATTTGATCTTCAGTAACCAATGCTTGTCGTAAGAGGCGACTAACAGGATCGGGTGGTCAGGCTCGCTGACTTGGTTGACACATGTCATCGGTTCCCAACTGCGTAGATCGATGCTCATACTGTTGATCACGGGATTGTCTGGTCCAGACTCGATTATTTACAGACCGCCGCCATATAGCTCAATATTGCTGTGTGCGGCGTAAAACTAAACTCACTCACTGCTAAAGATATTGATACGCATAAGGCTTGTATTTCCTGACAAAATACACGTAGGCTATTTACAACCGAAGATTTGAAATATTTCAGGTCGAAGGGTTTGTCTGGGTGAGGCCATGGCTCGGATGGAGTTATTCCTTTTCTTGACCACCATGATCCAGAGGTTCAAGTTCATTCCGGTGGATGGCCAGATGCCTTCTTTGGATGGAATCATGGGCATAACCCATTCTCCAAGACCATTCGGCATGAAAGCCATTCCCAGAGTTTAATCACTCTATGCGAGTGAGTGGGTAGTGTTAAGGCTGCATTGAGCAACTATCCAGCTAGGTATTGTCTGTTTTTAACAATACATGATCCCAACACATACTGTAATCCAGAGAGATAGAAAGATTTTTTCTAGTCATGTCACTGAAAGCCCAAGGAGTTCACGCTCAGGCCTTTATGTCCGCCGTCCGTCGTATAAATCGTCGTAAAGAAACCAGATGACCAATGAAACTGGAAGTTGCCACACTTATTTCCACCACTGATGATACTTCTCTTTCCACAAGTTCGAATCTGATATTGGGCATAGCTGCCTCAGCAGTTAACAATGTGAAAACAATATTTATGGCCGCTGCTAATTACTCTTGCATGATCTCGAAATCCATTATTGTTTGTGCTAACATCTCTGCAATGGTGAATGGGGATACAGTGATTGTGCTGACGACGACACCATGTTTCTTATGTATATCATTTGGATTTTACTGTGTCTTTTGTGATTCAATAAAAATACTGTGCTGTTGGAAACATGTTTTCCTTAGACAGTTCATGAGGCTCATGATTTGTATGAAGTAAGTGGATCGTTTACTGCAAAATCACTAGGATCCAGTCGTTAACAGTGAGTATAGAGCAAGTCTGTTTTATACGATTCACAAACTCACTAGAATGTTGAAAGATCTATTTACAAGCAAACGTAAATGATAAATTACACCAACTGTAACACTTTCAAACAACCAATGTTCGGTAATAGTTTGGGCACCTGCTTTTGAGAATGTAAAGGACGCATTAAAATGCGGAATCACGTTTGGCAGAAGAGGGATGCAACATATATCATGTTTGGAATTACATTTTCTCAGTAAAGTACAAAGTCTAGTACATTTCGGGCGTTAGATCCATCCGGGATTCGAACTCACGACCTCATAGTAAGGCACTTAATCAGCGATATAACCCACTCAGCCAGCGCAAAATTGGCAGCCTGACAATTGCTAGTCCAGATTACGTACTTTGTTTACCACTCTGACAAGTGTAAATTGGCCCGGCTCCCATTGCCGAAGCAATTCCAGATGGATACCCAAGGTGCTTTATAGTACTTTATCAAGTTCTGTGTCACTCAGCATGCAGTTGCATAATGCATATACACCGTAAACTCTTAACACCCACAGTGACACGTTCAGTTTGACGTACGTACCACACGGAAATTCGTCAAAGGGCCGGAATGCTGGAACAACTCTCAAACGACGTTTTCATTGGGGTGGGATTGGATGGCTATAGCAGCACACAAACATATATTAGTAGACGTAAACTGAACAGGAATACTTCGATCGGGTTGACACAATATCACATTACATTAACAATTGTCTAAACACACTAACAAGGTGTTTTGTATTCGTTCACCCAGAGATCCCAGAAAGACGATTCTGAAAACGATTAAATTCGACCATAGCGGAAATGAATGACCTCATTTTCAAAGCTGACTTGTAACGAGTGAGCCTGCTTAGCCCCTAAAGCAGTTTGCAGGTTTATCTAAATACATGTACCTCGACCAATACGAAAGGGAAAAACAAGCTTGGATAGCGCAATATATGGGACACCCGCCTTTGATAGCTGCTTGTCAACTCAATCGGAGGTAACCCACATACTGCCCTTAGCAAAACTGCAGTGTCGCGTTCACTCCAAGTCACGCTCTTGGGTTGATTCAATCTATCGACTGAATTACTGTATGTAGTTGCATCAGGCAGTGTATTATAGTGTACACTTATAAACACATCGTGGGTCGAGAAGTGGACAGTAGCAGACAATGGTGGATATATTCGCCTTCAGTCCTACAACTGTGTTGTTGTGTGTGGCCGTGCTAGTTTTGTTATGGCTGTTAACGCGGCGACCCTCAGGGCTCCCTCCCGGACCCCCTCTCCTCCCGTTTTTGGGGAATGTCCTCTCCATGAGCTCCGATCCCCGGATCACATTTAGAAGACTCAGGCAACGATATGGCGACATCTTCAGTGTGTACCTGTTCAACAAACCACTCATCGTCCTCAACGGTTACAGCACCCTGAAAGAAGCCATTGTCAAGAACGCCGACGTATTTTCTGAGAGGCCTCACACCACACTAAATGACTTCATTGCAAGAGGAAAAGGTAGGTGTCGTGATTTCGTACAGTACAGTATGAACCCTCTATGATCTTCACCTGTGTTCCAAATCACATCACCCACCTGTATTTCCAAAAGCGTGAACTGGACGTGCGTTGCCCCATATCACATTCTCACCTGCATTTTCACACACCACCTGAGCACGTGCGTTGCCCCATATCACATTCTCACCTGTGTTGCTTCAAACATCTGCAGGTGAGTTGCCATACATTGGATTCCCATCTGTGTTGCTTCAAACATCTGCAGGTGAGTTGCCATACATTGGATTCCCACCTGTGTTGCTTCAAACATCTGCAGGTTAGTTGCCATACATTGGATTCCCATCTGTGTTGCCTCAAAAATCTGCAGGTGAGTTGCCATACATTGGATTTCCACCTGTGTTGCTTCAATCATCTGTAGGTGAGTTGCCATACATTGGATTCCCACCTATGTTGCCTCAAACATCTGCAGGTGAGTTGCCATACATTGGATTACCACCTGTGTTGCTTCAAAAATCTGCAGGTGAGTTGCCATACATTGGATTTCCACCTGTGTTGCTTCAATCATCTGTAGGTGAGTTGCCATACATTGGATTCCCACCTGTGTTGCTTCAAACATCTGCAGGTGAGTTGCCATACATTGGATTTCCACCTGTGTTGCTTCAAACATCTGCAGGTGAGTTGCAAGACATTGGATTCCCACCTGTGTTGCCTCAAACATCTGCAGGTGAGTTGCCATACATTGGATTTCCACCTGTGTTGCTTCAATCATCTGCAGGTGAGTTGCCATACATTGGATTCCCACCTGTGTTGCTTCAAACATCTGCAGGTGAGTTGCCATACATTGGATTCCCACCTGTGGTGCTTCAAACATCTGCAGGTGAGTTGCCATACATTGGATTCCCACCTGTGTTGCCTCAAACATCTGCAGGTGAGTTGCCATACATTGGATTCCCACCTGTGTTGCTTAAAACATCTGCAGGTGAGTTGCCATGCATTGGATTTCCACCTGTGTTGCTTCAATCATCTGCAGGTTAGTTGCCATACATTGGATTTCCACTTGTGCTGCTTCATACCGGATCAGCACCTGCGTTGCCCCACATCATTTACCCACCTGTGTTGGTTCACACCACATCAGCACGTCCGTTGTCCCATATCACACTATGAGTATCACACTAACACCTTGCCTCGGTAAACTATTTGAAAAGCTCTTGCTCAAGCGAATTGGAAATAAATTGCTTAAATCAAATCCGGACTTTCCTGATAAGTTACAATGTGGATTTCGAAAAGAGCATGGAGCCATAATGTCTGTGTTTACTCTCATGGAGAGTATACAGTACTATAACCATAGAGATTCCCCTGTCTTTACAGCCTTTCTCGACAACGCAAAAGCGTTCGACAGAATTTGGCACGATGGTTTATTCTATAAACTTCATGAACTTGGTATTGGAGGTAATGCTTGGAAACTCTTACATCACTGTTATACCAATTAGTCCAGTACAATTAGTGGAAAAAATCACTGAACCTAAAAAAAAAATTGGTACAAAAATGGTTTTGTGTTTAAATCGTTTACAATAGTTATGTAAACAATATATAAAAAGTTCTCCCTTGGATGTTGATACTAAGTGGGGTTTTGGGGGGCAAATATTATGAAAAATGATATTTTTCAATTACTTTTTTCTATCTGAAAATAAGTCAGAAAAAGGAATAAAATCTTGCAAAATATACAACTGAAGTGTAAAAAATAGTAAATAATAAAAATTTAAATTGATAAAAAGTTATGAAATGAGGTTTGAACTGGACTTTGGACACTCCAGCGCACTTGAAACGAGTAAATGAGAGTTATCTCCCCATTGTTTAAAAATAAATTGTAGTAGCAGAATGGAAAGGAGGCTAGATGAGGCTATTGTTAACCTAATAGATAAAGGATAAAAAAGATAGCTAAAAGCTACAGTTAAAAGAGATGAGGAGGAGGACCGAGGTGATTCTGCTCCCATAATTAGCCCAAAGAACTATATGCACTGCGGTCGTGTAAAACTACGCACCTTGTTGATAAATGGGAAATTCTGTATCAAGATTTAAAAGAACTTGAATAAACATAATCCAGAATGATAGATTAGGAACATATAATACCATTCATATTTTTTGTGCTATTAATTTTAAAACAATTTCAAAACGTGATTGAAGGATAAGTCTGTTCTCTTTTAACTTTTGCTGGCAATTACATATTATCATGTGAGCAGAATTGAGTGAACCCTAACAAATATTTATAGTATACAGTCAGGCCACGTTAATCCAAACACTTCCGTTTTTCATCAAAAACTTTCGGATAGTGAAACGTACGGACTACTGAAACGAACCATTATATGTACACCACCACAGTAGTATAGAGTTACTTCCCTTTGACACACCGAGACAAGAACATAAGAACGTCTGCATGTACATGTATCAAATGACTGTAACTGGTAAATATTTTATCTCATTTGAAATCTCAGCAACAAAAACGGACTGGAATCTACATGAAAAACTTGACACATAAACTGAACATATAACATGTATTTTTCATGAAAAACATACCAATCTTTTTCTTACAATTGTTATCATTAACTTAGGCTCCTTGTAGTGAGTGAGTTAAGTTTATAAGTTTTTATGTGTGTGCGCGTGCGCGCGCACTTTGTACTTTCATGACCATTAACACATAGGGCCGCTACTCAGTGCAGCTTTAAGTCAAACCCATGCCGACACATGGGGTGAGTGAGTGAGTTTAATTTTACGGTGCACTCTGCAATATTCCAGCTATATGGCGGCGGCCTGTAAATAATCGAGTCTGGAACAGACAATCCAGTGATCAACAGTATGAGCATCGATCTGAAATTGACATTATAAGCAGATCAAAAACATATTTTGCGTACAATATTTTGACACATCAATGAATAACTCAGCATAATTTCAGGACATTAGGTGAATGTTTGCATTCCATTCAGACTCTTGACTTCAGTGTCTAGTGTGACCACCATGAGCGGCAATAACTGCAGCACAGAGTCGATGCATGGAGTACACCAATCGATTGATGAAGGCCATTGGCACCTGGAACCACACTCTGAGAAAGGCCTGGCACAATAAATCGGCTGTGTTCGGCCTTGGTATGACATTATTCAGTCTCCTCTGAATTTCATCCCAAAGATGTTCTTTTGGGTTTAAATCAGGACTAAGGGCTGGCCACTGCATAATGTGGACCCGTTCTGCTGTAGGAAGTCCCGTGTAGCTCTAGCAGTATGGGCCCGGACGTTATCATGCTGGAAAATGTTGTTCCGGTGACGTACGAAATGTGGTATGACGTGGGGTCAGAGAGCTTGGTTGTTGCTGCAGCCTGTAGATGGTCCGAACGTTGACCTGGAAGTGATTGGCAACGGCTTGTGCAGTGTGGCCAGCTTCAAGCCTTCCTAGCGCCTGGTTCCTCTCAGCTGTCGTGAGTTGCGGCATCCTGCTGACGTTGTAATGTGAATGTTTCAACAAGGTTTGGGGTGCATGTTATAGGGCTGGTCCTTGTGAACAGCACGTGCAGCAGGAGTTGCATGAAAAACATGGAGAACACCGTTACCACTCCGAGATCAGGTTGCGTTTTTGACACCATTTCCTGGGTTCCATTCTGAGTTTGGAAGGAATGTCTATGCTCAGATAAAGTTGGAGATGTTGTCAAAAGTATGCAATCAAAACATTAAATGAGTTTACAGTTATCCGTTTCTGCGAAGGAAAATTCCAAACTGACGTTTCTTTTGCTGCTTAATATATATCAAATGTAAGTAGACACCACCTGATCAGACATACATCAGCATTCATGCCATAAGAAACCACTTTACCATACTTTCTCAAAAGGAAGAAGTTATCCCATTTGCGTAGGTCGATGCTCATGATGTTGATCACTGGATTGCCTGGTCCAGACTCGATTATTTACACACCATCGCCAGCTGGAATGTTGCTGAGTGCGGCGTAAAACAACAAACCAACCAACTTAAAACTAAGAGCGTACATTCAAATAGCTTGGTAAAAGAATGAGAAATTAAAATTTACAGTTGATTACGATATTAACATTCATGTTCTTGAAAACCAGACTCTCTCTTCTGTACCGGCCAACCTTTGTGGTATTATGTTTATGTCATGTTTTCCATTTGCAACGTGTGTTCAAATAAGTCAATTTTATCATCTTTGTATACAGGTGTTGTTGCAACATCTGGAGAGCTCTGGCGCGAGCAAAGACGCTTCGCCCTCAACACTCTCAGGGAGTTTGGAGCAGGCAGGAACATCATGGAGGATAAAATACACGAGGAAATCTCACAGTTTATCGAGGCCTTTGAGGCAGAAGGAGGGCAAGGCTTTGACTGCAAACGCCTGGTGTGCAACGCAGTGTCCAATGTCATCTGCTCCACTGTATTCGGCAAACGATTTGAATATACTGACCCGCTTTTTTATTACATTTTTAAAAGCCATGGACGAAAATGTTGCCAATGTTGGTGCGGCTGGAGTGTTGAATAATAATAATAATAATAATAAATGCATATTTATAATGCGCCCCTTCCACACCCTAAGGCATGCTCAAAGCGCTACAGAATATTTACACTGGAGTATTTACAGATGAAGTTATACATAGTATACTGAGAAAAGGTGGGTTTTAAGTCTGGACTTAAAAATGTCAATTGTGGCAGAGCTTTTAAGGGCACATGGGAGAGAGTTCCAGAGCACAGGCGCGGAGTAAGAGAACGATCGGTGTCCGAAGGATGTCAGTTTGTAGGATGGGATGACCAGTCGGTTTTGTGTGTTTGAGCGCAAGTTGCGTGCGGGGACATACGGATGTAGGAGTTCAGACAAGTAGGGGGGAGCCAAACCATGGAGGCACTTGTACGTCAGACAGAGGATCTTAAAGTCAATTCTGGCCCTAACTGGTAGCCAATGCAGTTCTTTCAACACTGGTGTTATATGGGAACGTTTAGAAGTCTTGCTGATGATGCGGGCGGAAGTATTTTGGAGGATAAAATACACGAGGAAATCTCACAGTTTATCGAGGCCTTTGAGGCAGAAGGAGGGCAAGGCTTTGACTGCAAACGCCTGGTGTGCAACGCAGTGTCCAATGTCATCTGCTCCACTGTATTCGGCAAACGATTTGAATATACTGACCCGCTTTTTATTACATTTTTAAAAGCCATGGACGAAAATGTTGCCAATGTTGGTGCGGCTGGAGTGTTGAATGTGCTGCCTATTGTGCGCTTTCTGCCAGGAGATCTATTCAAATTTAAGAAGACAATGCAGAATGTCGAGAAAATCGAATCACTGCTCATAGACCCTATGACAGAGGAACACTTGAAGAATCACGACGATGACAACGTGGACGACTTCATCCACGCCTACATCAAGGAAATGAGACTTCGCAAAGCGAAACAAGAGGACACGACCTTAGACTGTAAGCATACTAAACCAAGTTAAATAGTTGTATGATTTTCTAACTCCATTTTGCCTTTTGTTTCGCCCTTTGGGTGAAAAACAGAATATATGTAGTTCGTGTGTTACAGATGATATCTTTGAGAACTGCGTGTCTGCATATAGTGGAAGAAAGGTGAAAATGATGCGATGCCTGGGTTAATCACCGTGTCCATGTACAAGAAAGGAGAACATCACTTCACATAGATCAACAAACCCTATTTGATTCGACCTTCGATATGGCTGAAATACTGCCGATGTGTACTCACTCATTCACTGATTCGGCCTTCGGTTTTTTCAATAAGATGGAATTGACACAGTAGTAAACTCTGAGGGTATATATCTGTCCGGATAGAAGAGAGAAGAAACCGTCTCCGTGACCTTACTTTCGTATGCACATGCATTTAGTTTCATTGCAGTTTAATTTACACAGTGTTTTCGAATCATTTTATTTCAACAAAAGGCTTCCGTCGGACCTTGTTTCAGCGAGAACCTGAAAAAGGTTATAGCAGACCTCTTCGTGGCCGGAACGGAAACCACTGCTACTACCATACGATGGACCATGATCTACTTACTCAACAATCCGGAAATACAGGAAAGGTGTTTCCGAGAGATCCAGGAAAATATCGGCCAGAGCAGATTGCCCTCCATGAAGGACAAAACCAGCCTGCCCTACATGGAAGCAACCATTATGGAAGTCTTGAGACGAGCTGATATCGCCCCTACAGCTCTCCCACATACCGTTCCCCACGATGTCCAGTTCAGGGGCTACACGTTCCCAAAAGGCGTACAAGTCATAGCGATGCTTGATTCCGTCCTACAAGACCCGGATGTGTGGGGTGATCCAGACAACTTTCGGCCTGACCGTTTCCTTGACGCCAGTGGCAAGATTGTAAAGAAAGATGAGTTCATTCCCTTCTCTCTGGGTAAGTTAAGTCGCTGGAGAAGCAGCAATATATGGTCAATCTTTATAAACGAATTCAACATTGAAGTGTTTTTACAAACGATTACAAATGGTTGTATCTTAAATTTAGTTGTTCAACCTGTCGAGTAAGGAAACTTCCAAACATATGACATATCAGTTATTCGTTAGTCTGAAAATGTGTTAATCGAAATATGTCTATTTAGAACTCTAATCTATGTTGGCCTAATACATACACATAACACCAAATATCATTCTTGTTTTAATGAATTGTACATTATTTTAGCTGTCTTTACAAATAAACATGCACTTTCGAGTAAAAGGAACAACACCAAGATTATATTTACTAAAGATATTGGACTCGGGTCCGGTGAAGGTCCGGGTTAGAATTGATCCTCAGTAACCCATGCTTGTCGTAAAAGGCAACTAACGAGATCGGGTGGTCAAGCTCGCTGACTTAGTGGACACATGTCATCGGTTCCCAATTGCGTAGATCGATGTTCATGCTGTTGCTCACTGGATTGTCTGGTCCAGACTCGATTATTTACAGACCGCCGCCATATAGCTGGAATATTGCTGAGTGCGGCATAAAACTAAACTCACTCAATTACTACTAAACATATTGATACGCATAAGGCTTGTATTTCCTGACACAATGCATGTAGGCTATTTACAACCGAAGATTTGAAATATTTCAGGTCGAAGGGTTTGTCTGGGTGAGGCCATGGCTCGGATGGAGTTATTCCTTTTCTTGACCACCATGATCCAGAGGTTCAAGTTCATTCCGGTGGATGGCCAGATGCCTTCTTTGGATGGAACGATGGGCATAACCAATTCTCCAAGACCATTCGTCATGAAAGCCATTCCCAGAGTTTAATCACTCTATGCGAGTGAGTGGGTAGTGTTAAGGCAGAATTGAGCAACTATCCAGCTAGGTATTGTCTGTTTTAACAATGCATGATCCCAACACATACGGTAATCCAGAGAGATAGAAAGTTTTTGTCAAGCCATGTCACTGAAAGCCCAAGGACTTCACACTCAGGCCTCTGTGTCCGCCGTCCGTCGTATAAATCGTCGTAAAGAATCCAGAAAACCAATGAAACTGGAAGTTGCCACACTTATTTCCACCACTGATGATACTTCTCTTTCCACAAGTTCGAATCTGATATTGGGCATAGCTGCCTCAGCAGTTAACAATGTGAAAACAATATTTATGGCCGCTGCTAATTACTCTTGCATGATCTCGAAATCCATTATTGTTTGTGCTAACATCTCTGCAATGGTGAATGGGGATACAGTGATTGTGCTGACGACGACACCATGTTTCTTATGTATATCATTTGGATTTTACTGCGTCTTTTGTGATTCAATAAAAATACTGTGCTGTTGGAAACATGTTTTCCTTAGACAGTTCATGAGGCTCATGATTTGTATGAAGTAAGTGGATCGTTTACTGCAAAATCACTAGGATCCAGTCGTTAACAGTGAATATAGAGCAAGTCTGTTTTATACGATTCACAAACTCACTAGAATGTTGAAAGTTCTATCTACAAGCAAACGTAAATGATAAATTACACCAACTGTAACACCGACAAACAACCAATGTTCGGTAATAGTTTGGGCACCTGCTTTTGAGAATGTAAAGGACGCATTAAAATGCTGAATCACTTTTTGCAGAAGAGGGATGCAACATATATCATGTTTGGGACTACATTTTCTCAGTAAAGTACAAAGTCTAGTACATTTTGGGCGTTAGATCCATCCGAAATTCGAACTCACGACCTCATAGTAAGGCACTTAATCAGCGATATAACCCACTCAGCCAGCGCAAAATTGGCAGCCTGACAACTGCTAGTCAAGATTACGTACTTTGTTTACCACTCTGACAAGTGTAAATTGGCCCGGCTCCCATTGCCGAAGCAATTTCAGATGGATGCCCAAGGTGCTTTATAGTACTTTATCAAGTTCCATCTGCTGTGTCACTCAGCATGCAGTTGCATAATGCATATACACCGTAAACTCTTAACACCCACAGTGACACGTTCAGTTTGACGTACGTACCACACGGAAATTCGTCAAAGGGCCGGAATGCTGGAACAACTCTCAAACGACGTTTTCATTGGGGTGGGTTTGGATGGCTATAGCAGCACACAAACATATATAAGTAGACGTAAACTGAACAGGAAAACTTCGATCGGGTTGACACAATATCACATTACATCAACAATTGTCTAAACACACTAACAAGGTGTATTCGTTCACCCAGAGATCCCAGAAAGACGATTCTGAAAACGATTAAATTCGACCATAGCGGAAATGAATGACCTCATTTTCAAAGCTGACTTGTAACGAGTGAGCCTGCTTAGCCCCTAAAGCAGTTTGCAGGTTTATCTAAAAACATGTACCTTGACCAATACGAAAGGGAAAAATAGGCTTGGATAGCGCAATATATGGGACACCCGCCTTTGATAATTGCTTGTCAACTCAATCGGAGGTGACCCACATACTGCCCTTAGCAAAACTGCAGTGAAGCGTTCGCTCCAAGTCACTGAATTACTGCATGTAGTTGCATCAGGCAGTGTATTATAGTGTTCACTTATAAACACATCGTGGGTCGAGAAGTGGACAGTAGCAAACAATGGTGGATATATTCGCCTTCAGTCCTACAACCGTGTTGCTGTGTGTGGCCGTGCTAGTTTTGTTATGGCTGTTAACGCGGCGACCCTCAGGGCTCCCTCCCGGCCCCCCTCTCCTCCGGTTTTTTGGGAATGCCCTCTCTATGGGTTTCGATCCCAGGGTCACGTTTAAAAAACTCAGGCAAAAATATGGGGACATCTTCAGTGTGTACCTGTTCAACAAACCACTCATCGTCCTCAACGGCTACAGCACTCTGAAAGAAGCCATTGTCAAGAACGCTGACGTCTTTTCTGAGAGGCCTCACACCACACTAAATGACTTCATTGCGAGAGGAAAAGGTAGGTGTCTCGCTTTCTATCTTCACCTTTGTTCCAAATCACATCCCCCACCTGTATTTCCAACAGCGTTATCAGTACGTGTGTTGCCCCATATCACATTCTCACCTGCATTTTCACACACCACCTGAGCACGTGCGTTGCCCCTTATCACATTCTCACCTGCATGTTCACACAACCTGAGCATGTGCGTTGCCCCATATCACATTCTCACCTGCATATTCACACACCACCTGAGTATTTGCGTTGCCCCATATCACATTATCCTCTGTTTTTCCGTTTATCATATCAGCACGTCCGTTGACCCACATCATATTCTCACCTGTGTTGCTTCAAACATATACAGGTGAGTTGCCATACATTGGATTCCCACCTGTGTTGCTTCAAACATCTGCAGGTGAGTTGCAATACTTTGGATTCCCACCTGTGTTGCTTCAAACCTATACAGGTGAGTTGCCATACATTGGATCCCACCTGTGTTGCTTCAAACATCTGCAGGTGAGTTGCCCTACTTTGGATCCGCACCTGTGTTGCTTCAAACATCTGCAGGTGAGTTGCCATACATTGGATTCCCACCTGTGTTGCTTCAAACATCTGCAGGTGAGTTGCCATACATTGGATTCCCACCTGTGTTGCTTCAAACATATACAGGTGAGTTGCAATACATTGGATTCCCACCTGTGTTGCTTCAAACATCTGCAGGTGAGTTACCATACTTTGGATTCCCACCTGTTTTGCTTCAAACATCTGCAGGTGAGTTGCCATACATTGGATTCCCACCTGTGTTACTTCAAACATCTGCAGGTGAGTTGCAATACATTGGATTCCCACCCGCGATGCTTCAAACATCTGCAGGTGAGTTGCCATACTTTGGATTCCCACCTGTGTTACCTCAAACATCTGCAGGTGAGTTGCAATACATTGGATTCCCACCCGTGATGCTTCAAACATCTGCAGGTGAGTTGCCATACATTGAATTCCTACCTGTGTTGCTTCATACAGGGGATCAGCACCTTCCTTGCCCCACATCATATACCCACCTGTGTTGGTTTACACCACATCAACTTTGTTCCATATTATATTCTCACCTGTGTTCACATTTTCACCTGTTGTTCAACACATCAGATCAACTGTGCCTTGTCCCATATTAATTTTCCACCGTTGTTAAGGCAACATAATGTTCCCATACTTGCCAAAGAAGACGGTCATGAATATTTTGAAAACTGCCTTGATTGTCACTTACAAGTACAATGCTGTGTATGTGTTGCTGAAACACCACAGATATCATAAATAAATGCAACGTTGTCAGCGCCTCACGTTCCTCCCCAACGATTCGGTCGACGTTGACGTGTTCATCACATCCCGGATGCCCACATCATGCAGTCGTCTCATCACTGTGATCCTGCTGATGCGGTGTTGCTGCTGATGACGTCACTGATTACGCAGATTGGATGAGTGAGTGACTGAATGTAGTTTTACGCCGCTTTTGGCAATATTCCGGAAATATATCACGGCGGGGGACACCAGAAATGGGCTTAAACGCTTTAACCACAAGGCTACCCGACCGCCCCATAGGTTGGAAAATGCGCAGGTGATGGTCATGTTGCTGGGTGGTCACTCTCGGTCTTCTACCTCTGGAACTGTCAGATGTCTAGCCAGTCCGATTGACGCGTCTCATTAGTCGATGTTGGTCTGCCTTCTTATACATCTGAATGTTCTGGCATTATGGCTATTCGAAGCCCCATTATGCGACATTCCAAAGGCGCCTTCTTGATCCGCTTTTTGCTTTTTAATGGGTATACCACCAGTGTGCGAAATAGTTTCCAAATTTTGCTAGCGAGTCAGGCTAGATATGCCTGAAAGTTACTAGCCCACAAAATAATTCACTAACCCGAAATTTGAATGTAGAAGCTAAACAAAAGATTACAAAAATAGACGAGATATTGTCGGCAATATCATCATTATTCATCATTAAGTTGTTACTATGATGAACATTTTTATCAGGCCAGGGGTGGAATTAACTTTAAAATTGTTCGTGAACTCCGGTACAGTGGCACATGTAAAATCACTTGCCCTAATAATTTTTCCACTATACTGACCGATTTTCTTGTTGATTCTTTAAATAAACAGCATAATTAACATTGGAAAGTCACTGGACACCGGTACATTTGCTTGCCCGACAGAAAAAAAACACTGGACTTGGGCGTCGGGCAATGGATTATTTCCACTCCTGCAGGCCATAATCTTGCATGATTTAAAAGTGTATTATAACTTAACAAGTCGGAGAGAGAGATATATTTACAAAATGACCCCATGAAAGTTCACTATCCAGTCGGGCCAGTGACTGTGGAGATTTACTGGCTCGACTGGAGATTTACTAGCCATTGGCTAGCGGGCCAGTGGCTATTTCGCACACTGTATACCACTAACACTCTCAGTCAACTGTGTTCCATACTTGAATATGACATGCACGTTGGATTCAACAGAATCACCATTTTAATGATTTTAGACGCACATCAGTGTATAGGATGTATGTGCTGTTTTAGCGACACGTACAAACTGATTGCGACTTGGTAGTCACAATCAGAACACTTTTCAAAAGATTTACTCTGTGAGTTGTTTTTTTTAGATAATTCCCACACACCCAGTCTTTTCCCACAGAGGTTATTTGTCATATCTTCCTACGCACCTCTGTTCTAATGGTTTCGAGTGTTCAGGATTCGTGATTGGTTGCAATCAGATTTAGTGGTGCAATCAGCGACGTTGTTTCAAAAGTGATCATTCGCAAGGCCTCGGTAATTTCCGTATGCTTCGGGAAAACTAGAACCTCTTCCCCTGCCCGATGCGCAAACGTTTCTTCTAGACAGAACTCATGTAATGCCAGAGCAATGGCGTCTCCATTGCCCTCGTTGACAACGGACAAGCTTGCCATTTAATGTCTTGTGTGTCACGTCAACACAAGTCCCCGACAGAGAAGAGGGATATTTGTGGCCCCACTGTTACTTGCATTAGTCAAGTTGGCTCTAAGTCGATGTAACTTTACACGTGTTCTGATTGGATAGATAAAAGGGAGATAATTCGTGTTGCGATTTGTTTGCCGCTAGGGGATTTTACGAGAACCGGGAAATATGGCCGTATTAGAACAGGTTCGTAGGAAGATATGACAAGTAGCCTCTGTGGGAAGAGAATGCCAAACACCAAACAGGTGTATATTTTATTGGTTTGAGGCGCAATCGCGTCATTCTATGCCTAAGGTAAAAACAATTAAGCCTAACCCTAATACTAACCCTAAACCTAAACCTAACCCTAAACACCCGAAATAATCCAAATAAATTGAACATATTTCAAGGGGGGGATACGGGTCGAACTCTTACCCGTGAGCGCTATGTATCTTAGACCTTTGATAAGAAATGTCATAAACTGGAAATGAGAGTACCGAACTCTAATTGACGGAGGTGTGGTCATCGTGGTGCTCTTGAAATCAGCTTCACCACCCAAATCATCTCACGTCCGTCTCACTAAATTTCTTAATTTACTCAGGTGCCTCCGATGCTGTTCTAGTTTTGTACATTAGTTTAGTTTCCTACTGAATTCCCCTCACTTCAAGTCAAGCTGAAATGCACCTCTCATACCGATACATATATATAAGTAGGCATCACTTAATCAAACATGCATCAGCACTCATACCACAAGAAACCACTTTACCATACTTTCTCAAAAGGAAGAAGTTATCCCATTTGCGTAGGTCGATGCTCATGATGTTGATCACTGGATTGCCTGGTCTAGACTCGATTATTTACACACCATCGCCAGCTGGAATATTGCTGAGTGCGGCGTAAAATAACAAACCAACCAACTTAAAAGTAAGAGCGTACATTCAAATAGCTTGGTAAAAGAATGAGAAATTAGAATTTACAGTTGATTACGATATTAACATTCATGTTCTTGAAAACCAGACTCTCTCTTCTGTGCCGGCCAACCTTTGTGGTTTTATGTTTATGTCATGTTTTCCATTTGCAACGTGTGTTCAAATAAGTCAATTTTATCATCTTTGTATACAGGTGTTGCTGGAACATCTGGAGAGCTCTGGCGCGAACAAAGACGATTCGCCCTCAACACCCTCAGGAGAGTTCGGAGCAGGCAGGAATATCATGGAGGACAAAATACACGAGGAAATCTCACAGTTTATCGAGGCCCTCGAGGCAGAACGAAGGCAAAGCTTTGACTGCAAACGCCTGGTGCACAACGCAGTATCCAATGTCATCTGCTCCACTGTATTCGGCAAACGGTTTGAATTTTCTGACCCCCTTTTTATTACATTTTTAAAAGCCATGGAAAAAAATGTTGCCAATGTTGGAGCGGCTGGAGTGTTGAATGTGCTGCCTATTGTGCGCTTTTTCCAGGGGGATCTATTCAAATTTAAAGTGACAATGCAGAATGTCTGGATAAATTGAATCACTGCTCCTTGACCCAATGATAGAGGAACACTTGAAGAATCACGACGATGACAACGTGGACGACTTCATCCACGCCTACATCAAGGAAATGAGACTTCGCAAAGAGAAACAAGAAGATACGACCTTAGACTGTAAGCATATCGAACGTATCTTAAGCAGTTGTACATAGCTGATTTGATAACTCCCTTTTGCCTTTCGTTTGGCCATTGGAAGACAAAACAGTATATACGCTGTTCGCGTGTAAATGGTTAGTGAGTGAGTATGGTTTTACGACGCTTTTAGCAATATTCCAGCAACACCCGGGCAGGGGACACCAGAAATGGGCTTCACACAGTGTAAATGGTGATGTCTTTAGGCGGGGAGTGTAATTGGTAGGGCCAAAATGGCGCACTTCATCAACCCCTGGCACATCTCACACTGGATGCTTGTGCAACGGAGGGAAATGACACTTCACATAGATTAACGAACCATTATTTCATGCTGCCCTTGATTCTGGCTCAATGGGATGAAATAAAAAATATTCCTGGTGTCCTCTGTTGGTGGGTGAGTGAGCGAGTTTAGTTTTTTGCCGCTTTTAGCAATATTTCAGCAATATCACATCGGAGGACATCAGAAATGGGCTTCACACTCTGTACACACGTTGGGAATCGATCCCTGTGATTAGCGAACGCTTCAACCATCAGGGTTCCCCACTACCCGGATGAAAGTGAGGTTATACATCAGTCCGCGGAGAAATCAGTCTCTTTGCTTTCTTATTTGCGTACATTTAGTTGTACTCTGATTGCCCTGTGAGTCTATAATCTTGCATTGGGGCCTTCTCTCTCCTAATCAAAAAATATATTTCCAATGTTTTATGTTTCATTGCAGTTTAATCTTACACACTGTTTACGAATCATTATATCTCATACGAAGTACTAGTATTAATGAAGATTCTCTTGTACCTCGTTTCAGTGGAGAACCTGCAAAGGGTTATAGCAGACCTCTTCGTGGCCGGAACAGAGACAACAGCTACTACAATACGATGGACCATGGTCTACTTACTCCACTATCCGGAAATACAGGAAAGGTGTTTCCGAGAGATCCAGGAAAATATCGGCCAGAGTAGACGCCCCTCGATGAAGGACAAAACCAAGCTGCCCTACGTGGAGGCAACCATTATGGAAGTCTTGAGACGAGCTGATATTGCGCCTGTAGCTCTCCCACACGCCGTTCCCCACGATGTCCAGTTCAGGGGATACACGTTCCCAAAAGGTGTCCAAATCATAGCGATGCTTGATTCAGTCCTTCAAGACCCGGATGTGTGGGGTGATCCAGACAACTTCCGGCCTGACTGTTTCCTTGACGACAGTGGCACGGTTGTAAAGAGAGATGAGTTCATTCCCTTCTCTCTGGGTGAGTTTAGTCGCTGGAAAAACAGCAACAAATGACATATCTCTATACAAATTAAACCTTACATGCTTTCAAGTGGGAGATTTAAACCTAAATGTTTGAAATATTTCAGGTCGAAGAGTTTGTCTGGGCGAGTCCATGGCCCGGATGGAGTTGTTCCTCTTCCTGACCACCATGATCCAGAGGTTCAAGTTTGTCCCGGTGGATGGTCAGATGCCTTCTTTGGATGGAATCATGGGTTAATCGTATTCTCCAAGACCATTCGTCATGAAAGCAATTCCCCGACTTTAATCACTTTATGTGAGTGAGCGAGGGAGTTGGTAGAGTAAAGGAGAAAAGAGAAAGGGCGAGAAGAAACTGGAGAGTTTGTTTGAGTGAGTGAGTGAGTAGGTGTTCAGACTGCTTTTAGAAACAATTCAACATAGAATTGCCTTTACATATTATACCTATGTTCGGAATTGAACCTGGCGAGCTTTGAACTGTGTCTACTGGCCCACTCCACCCTCCTTAACCAATTTTGTTATCAACCCTTAGCTATAGTGCATCCTTTCCGTGTTACAAAGAGGTGTTGTTCTATACTTCATAACCTTGACCTTTACATACCCAGGGCCAGGCATCGGCGGCATTTCAGAATACCTAATGAGTTGCTTCCGTAGCCAAGACAGGGTAAACCGGTTATTGTTTGGGGATAACAGTTGATAACCACCAGAGTCAGCCATGTTTTGTCCATTACACACTGGATCACATGTCCAGAACTCACAACCGGGTAAACCGGTTATTGTTTGGGGATAACTGTTGATAACCACCAGTCCCTGAAAGGATTCAGATTAGAATTGATTTTCAGCAAACGGCAACCAACGGAATTGGGAGGTCAAGCTCGTTGAGATGGTTGATTCATGTGGTGAGTGAGTGAGTTTAGTTTTACGCCGCACTCAGCAATATTCCAGCTATATGGCGGCGGTCTGTAAATAATCGAGTCTCGGCCAGACAATCCAGTGATCAACAGCATGAGCATCGATCTGCGCAATTGGGAACCGATGACATGTGTCAACCAAGTCAGCGAGCCTGACCACCCGATCCCGTTACGACAAGCATGGGTTACTGAAAACCAATATTCTAACCCAGATGTACACGGGTCGTTGATGCATGTCATCGTATCCAAGTTGCGTACATAGTGTCAATCACTGGATTGTCGAGTCCAGATTCGATTTTTTACAGACCGCCGTCATATGGCTGGAATATTTATGAGTGCGGCGTTAAACAACTATCCAGCAACCAAACCCTATCAAGAGACATCATTGTGTGTTTTGTGAACAGAACTCTTGATACCAGCATATCATGACATGTGTAGTATGGTGATCTACTTTAGTTGCTGGCGATCTATAGCCCATTTTTATGCTGTAATGTCCTAAATAGTATATACTTTTAAGTCACATGCTAGTATTAAATCTTCAACTGTGACATTCTGGTCCTTGTACTGTCCTTCGCAGACAGATTTTAAGATATCACATTATAACGTATTAAGATATTACCCTTTTTAGTCACGTTTTGGCTGAAATATTTCCAAAGTGACTATTAATTTTAACTCACCCAATCGTGACATGTGTTTCTTAAATAATAACATCAGACGGAGCATCTGCTAATATATCTGTCTGAAACTAATCATCTTGAGAAATCCAATTGTCATGAAAAGTCAAATCTGTATTTGGAAACTAGTAACCTGAATTATTATCAAATAGGCATGCTTATCATGGGACAAAACCTTTCAGTTGTGTCGTGGTGTTGGCCCCAGTGCAGCACTCGACATGCATTATTATACTGGGTCTATTGGCCCAACGTTTGCCCGATAGAGCATGCTTTCTTTTCTGTCTGCTCTACAACACGTAAAACCTTTGAGTAATATTATATTATTTTTATATTTTTATTTTATTTTTCATTTTGGATGATTCATGCAATACAGATTATCGTACAAGCCGTTAGTTGATGTGACTGTGTGTGTCACAGACTTTGCACAGTTCGTTCATTTTCTTCTTAGTAATAGTAATTCATTTATATAGCGCCGAGTATCTATCTGACTAGTTGCTCACTGGACGCTGTAATCAGAATCTGATTATTATTACCAAGGATAACCCAAGCTGCCAACCGGTACTCATTTTCTGCTTGGTGAACAGAGGCAATTTTTGAGACCACATGTATCACATGTGCCTCGTTGGGGGGCAGGACTGAAGTCCTAGAAACTCTCAGGAGTCAAGATGCCAAACACGGTCACCCATCCAAGGACTCTCCGAGCTTGACGTTGCTTAACTTCAACTGATTCGTGATCTGAGCTGTACGCACAGGACCACACACCGCCAGTTTTCTTCTTAAAATGCAATATATTAGAATAAATATACAAACGTTATTGTTGTTGTGATGGTAGTTAAGTGTTGTTCAGAAAGCAGTCAAGGCATATCAATATGAAGTGGCATCATCTTCACCCTTTGAGTGAGTGAGTGGGCTGGTTTAGTTTTACTCAGCTTTTAGCACTATTCCAGCAATATCACCGCGGGGACACCATAAATGGACTCCAGTCTTCGGCGTGACGAGCGAGCGCTTTAACTGCGAGGCTACCCCACCGCCCCTCCACCTTTTTTCAGTCGATTAAAACTAGCAATACAATCGTCTTCCCACATCCATCATTATTGTCAGTTGTCAGCTTCACATAATAGTCACAAAAGTGTGTTATATTCACGAACCGTGAATTTTCATGAATAATACTCAACTACTGAAAGTAATTACACTTTTTACCTTTGAATGGCAGTCGTGTTGATCACAATTTTTGGAAGTTCGTACACACTTACATTGTATTTAGCAATACAGTATCATCAACTATTCACGGGATCCATGCAAAACCATACACATAAGTGCACAAGAAATTACACATATAAAGCCAGTGTGTTAACCAAGGAATAAATCTGCCCAAACCATTCATCGGTACTATGAGCTTTTAGCCTGACTCTAAAACCTGAAAACATTGTCCATTCCTCTTTTGTTCTGGTTTCCAAGGCTATATAAAAATCCATTCAAAGAGACAGATATTGCAGGGTCCAGCAAATGTGCCGTCAAATCCCTGTCGCAAAGATTAACCAAAATCCTTGATACTATCAAGGAAGGACTTCTTCTATATTCACAGAAAGTTGTTATGGGTACGGACCCAGTTCAGTTCTGTCAAAACATTCAAAACACTATCCCACATGACAACATAGGTATCAACCTTCAGAGACTCAGGACAATTTGTCAAACATTCAAAACACTATCCCACATGACAACATAGGTATCAACCTTCAGAGACTCAGGACAATTTGTCAAACATTCAAAACACTATCCCACATGACAACATATGTATCAACCTTCAGAGACTCAGGACAGTGTGTCAAACATTCTAAACACTATCCCACATGACAACATATGTATCAACCTTCAGAGACTCAGGACCATTTGTCAAACATTCAAAACACTATCCCACGTGACAACATATGTATCAACCTTCAGAGACTCAGGACAATTTGTCAAACATTCAAAACACTATCCCACATGGCAACATATGTATCAACCTTCAGAGACTCAGGGCAGATTGTCAAACATTCAAAACACTACCCCACATGACAACATATGTATCAACCTTCAGAGACTCAGGACAATTTGTCAAACATTCAAAACACTATCCCACATGACAACATATGTATCAACCTTCAGAGACTCAGGACAATTTGTCAAACATTCAAAACACTATCCCACATGGCATCATATGTATCAACCTTCAGAGACTCAGGACAATTTGTCAAACATTCAAAACACTATCCCACATGACAACATATGTATCAACCTTCAGAGACTCAGGACAGTTTGTCAAAAATGAAAGCAAATGTCATTTGAAGTTTGTGAAAACAATATGTGAAATACTGGACTTCCTCATTGATAACATCTACGTAAGATTTTGGGGTAAACATTTACACAAGAATTAGGCACCCATAATCACCAATTGGCCCCTTCTCCAAAAGATATTTTTCTTTATGCATATGAATCGGAATTTCTGGGCGGGTTAACAATTTGTAATAAGGTAAACTGGCGAAGATGGTCAATTTAAACTTCAGGTAAATCCATGATTTAATACCGTTCAATAACCAATAAATAATCAATCCCGTCTAATTCACCCACATGAACTTTTATTAAATAATTGACACAAGAGAGACAGCTTCATGTACTCCAGCCTTTGTTGTTTACATTTCACAACTCAATCCCGTCTAATTCACCCACATGAACTTTTATTAAATAATATACAGCTTCATGTACTCCAGCCTTTGGTGTTTACATTTCACAACTCAATCCCGTCTAATTCACCCACATGAACTTTTATTAAATAATTGCCACAAGAGAGACAGCTTCATGTACTCCAGCCTTTGGTGTTTACATTTCACAACTCAATCCCGTCTAATTCACCAACATGAACTTTTATTAAATAATTGCCACAAGAGAGACAGCTTCATGTACTCCAGCCTTTGGTGTTTACATTTCACAACTCAATCCCGTCTAATTCACCCACATGAACTTTTATTAAATAATATACACAAGAGAGACAGCTTCGTGTACCCCAGCCTTTGTTGTTTACATTTCACAACGTTTGAGGAACAACCTAGCATGATGTTGAACCAAGTGTCACGTGGCACCGTCATTATTTGTGTATGAATGTTCCAAGTGTTATACATTGTACATGTTGAAGTTCAGTAAAGGGTCCTTCACACTTATTTCGAATTGACAGGAATCAAGGAGAATCAGCCAGAATTTCTTTTTCAAAATTCGAACCGCATTCTGGACAGAATGTCAAAATAAACAATTTTGTCAAGCTTTGTAAGAATGCTGTTGGAATACTTAGAACGCACTTAGAACCCGCCTCGAATGATTCGTACTCATTCCAAATGTACTAGATCACGAATGCAGATCGAATGAATCGGAATACAGTAGGAATAATGAGAATGCCGTTAGAATACACTAAGAATACTTAAAATGAATTTCGACTGCCGTACGAGGCCGGTTCGATTGCTGCGTGAATAGCACTCGAATTTCAGTTGGAACGTACCTCGAATGCTGTACGAATTTACATAGAATGCATTCAGAACCTTCTTAAAGTGACCCCCGAATATGGATCGAATGTTAAAGAATTAAAACAGAATGCAGCTCGAATATTTCAAATGTCCGTCAAATGCACTTAGAATGTAACACGAATGTCCGAAATGCATCAAGAATGCTGCTAGAATGTTCCACGATGGGGCATAAAAACCTGTTGAATCTGGACTATTCATCAGTCTCTGCCCAACTCCCATAGAGTATGGACCACCTGGACCATGTTGCGTTTATCCAGATTAATGTCCTCCAGAAAGCCCTGATTGAAAGAGATGTTGAGGAGACCAGGATAAGAAAGGAGAGACAGGAGAAGACCCAGGAGATTCCAGACCAGACCATGTCTGACAGAGGAAAGCAGGAGACTGTATGGACATTACAAGACTGATGGAGGAGCTCAGAGTTGAGTACACGCAGTCATTCTTCAACTACCATAGAATGGAGCCTGCCATGTTTGATGAATTGATGCAGAAAGTGGGACCAAGAATACAGAAGCAGGATACATATATGAGAAAGGTGCTACCTCCAGGCTTGAGGCTAGACCTCTCATTGAGGTTCCTGGCTTCAGGTGGTAGGTACCCCAGCATCATGTACAGCTTCCGCGTGGCAAGGAACACAATCAGCCTGATCATCC